TGCATCCCAGCCAGGTCACGAGCCACAACCAAAGCAGTAAGAAGCCGGACAAATCATGGCAGGAGTTTTGCTTGTGCACGTTTACTCCAGGAAATGAGTGCTGAGAGGGTGCCTGGGATGTTCCGGTCTATCTGCCAGCAGCATCCTCTTCTCCCACAGGGAGAGCACCCAAACTTCACTCACCTTCAGTGAGATGGCTGAAGTTTTCATGGGAGAGGGGGACTAGAAAAGGAAGATTTTTTGAACAACACCACGTAAACCCACCACTGCCTGGCCCTAAAGGAAAGAGTCAGTATCCAACGATGCTCCACTTTGTGCTGCATATAAACAGGAAGATTCAGTGTTTTGTTTCATATTAAAAAATACACAGAGGGTCCTCAGGGATGTAAGGGTTTGCGGCTGGGAGTTTATTCCAGCAAATCTGCTGGCACAGCTCCTAAAGGTCGGGCAGGACTTGGCAGCAGGGCCCATCTAATCTCTCTGCAGAGGCAGCCAGCTCGGGGCCCTGGGGAGCCCAGCCCCTCCGAACGCATTAAGGCCCCTCACTCGGAGCAAGCCCGACTCCTCGAGGACAAGCGGCGACTCCAGCGCGGGCCCCAGGGGGGCCGGGAAAGGCAGCGGCAGCTCCTGGCGAGCGCCTGGCTGCCAACGACTGCCAAGAACACACGCTCGTGAGCGAGGGCTTGCGGGAAAGGATGCACGCTGTCCCTGCCGGGTCGGAGGGATCCCCTCGGCAGCTCCCCCAGCCCTGGCCAGCTTTGCAAGCACGGCAGCAAAGCCTCACCACGGACGTTGTTAAGGCTCATCCTTGGCACACGACACGGTGCAATTCCACCTCACAAATCTCGAGTCCAGCCAAGCCTTGACAGATGTCAAAGCAAGACGGATGGTGCCTTTCCATGTGGGCTTCCTTGGCTTGGCTCCTCCGAGCTACCAAGCTATTCAGCCGCTGTAAAAATTGGAAAGGTCTTCTCCAGAAAGCCTTCTGCTAGTGCAGTCCAGCACTGCGTGGCAGCACGGGGTTGGCACCTCCAGGTCAAAGCTCGCTAGCTGTAAAGGTGCAAATAGGGCAGCTGCATGGTGAGTGTCCCGAGAGCTGGCCAGAGGTGAAGTGGGGTCCCTACCATGAGGGTGCACAGACATGCCAAACCAGGTGGAGAGTCGGTGGTCAAGATTAAATCCAGAATCTGGGGCAGATGTGCCCTAACAGACTCTCCTCCTGGGAGAGACCAGCTTTGTTTTACAGAACAACAGTGAAAGTGAAGTCTTTCCGGTTCACTGCACTGGGGAGGTACCTACCTGCCTTAGGTACCTACCTGCCTTAGGTACCCACCAGCTGGAGCAGCTGTGGGGGGCTTGGCCCCAGGGAGGAGAGGCATTAGCGACTCCCAGACTCTCTGTTACTGGTGGAGGTCTGCTGCCTCCTCTCCACAAGCCTTTCCACAACAAAGGCAGATTGGTTTCAGGCAGGGAAGGGCAGCTTCAGCACAGGAAAAGACTTCCGCTCCTGTTATGCTGCTTTGGGAAACCTCCCCTTTGATCCCTGGGGAAAGGGACAATTTGGCAGCTAGAAGGCTATTGTGTGCCTCTTGCTATAAGTAGCTGCTAAAGGCTTGGCTGAGAGCTGGAGCCAGTTGTTTAACTACACAGTGAGCAGAGCTGTGCCCCAACAGGCACGGTAAGACCAATTTGTCACTGCTGAGAAAACAGCTTCAGGTAAGAACAGAATGAAAAACCCATTGGCTATCCATGTGCTAAAAGTGACAGTGTGTTTTTGTCACAGGGAGAGCACCACAAACCTCATGGACTGGACACAGATCCTGTCTCCTCTAGGGAAACCGTACTACTTTTCCTCTCAGCAGACTGCTGCTGTTCATGTCTGTGCTATGCCTCACACAGCAAGTCTGCCAATCAAAGTCAAATTCAGAGGCAAATCCGAACATCTGGGTTCTGAAGAAATTCCTCAGCACTTTCTGAAGCCCTAACAACACGTGTAAGTTAAAGGATTCATCAAAGGAAGAAGCAGCCAGGAGCAGACTAACAGAGTTAAATGTTTAATAACTTTCCTGTCCAGAAGAGGAATACCAGATGAATCAAAGTTATCCTAGGCAAGGTGAGCTGATCTAAAACTTGGTCTCAGCACGGCCTTCTCTTCCACCTGCTTTCCTCTTTACTGACCTCAAACATGTCTCTTCCTGACGTGGTGTTATTGCTGGACAGAGCAGGGAGAAAGGAGACACTTATTAGACTCAGCAGCACCAAGACAACTGTACTGGGAGGGCTCCAAGTATTCCCCAGACACCTCGGGAGGCTGCTACAGCTACAGCAGGCAGTGACAGGTTCCCCAGAGGTGTCACCTACTGTGAACATTGCCTTCTACCTCCCACTAAAATCAACACCCAGCATCTTCCCCCAGCTCCTTGAAATTTGACCCAGGAATCTTCTCTGCTGAAAGTATCTGCACTGGACAGGCTGGCCCTGGCAAAGAAGGTGCTTCCTCACAAGCCTCAAGACTACTGTCAATATGCCAGGGACTCCTCTCCTATCACCGGAAGAGCAGAGCGTGGCACCTCCTCCCGCTGGGCAGCCGCAACCTTGCCTATGTCCTTCCCACCTCATGGCACCCTCGTCTGCACCGGGCAGGGAAAAGATCAGAGTACGTTTGGGCTAGAGGGACACAAACGGCATCTCTCTTGGGAGACAAGTGTTGAGCTGCTGTTAGCTCTGAAGAGCAAAGCTGCTGTGAAAGCTCCAGAGAGATACCAGGAGGTTGTCACCCTGCCCAGAGTCCTTCGACATGAACAGGAAGGACATGGGGAGTGGGTGCACAGCTCACCCTGCTCCTAGATGGGAATGACAACGTCCATGTGTTTTGGCAGAAAAGCCACTCAGCAGGGCACCCCTGGCAGACTGCTCACCCTGGCAACAGTGAGGGTGCTCCCTGGCTGACAGCCAAAGCTGGTAAGAGCTCTGCTGCTAGAAGAAACTCTGGGTTGTGAAGGCAGTGGGAGGAGTAAGAGGAATGCTGGTCTGGCCCAGTTGCTGCTCCCACCCTCCTTGCCCACAGCTGGCTCACCTTGGCCTTGTTCTGGACAGGCAGATACAGCTTAAACTCAGCTGGGAGCTCATCCTCTGAGTAGAGCCGGTCAGAGAAGTACACCCGTCGGATGCGACAGTTGGCGTGGATCTGAGAGTCAAAACAAAGAGTCAGTCCGTTTCCATAAGCTCTTCCCACATCCAGTCTCGCTGTCGTGCGGCGGCCTGGATTCCTTGGCTCAGCGGCTGGAGAAGAGACCTCACTGCCTCCCTCTGAATCCGACAGGACATGGCAGACAAAGTGCTGGCCTGTGCCCTCTGCTTTGCCTTGGATGCTCTCTCTGGCGACGCACGACGGCTCAAGAGATCTGGCCACGCTCTGGCACCTCTGCAGACTGAGATCTGCCTCAGTTGCTCGGAGGGCTCTTTGCTGTGAGCCCACCTCTGCTCCTCCACTGCTACCAGCCTTCGCCAGAGGCTCTCGGCCTCAGCTTGCTGCGTTTTTAACGCCCCCTCGCCAGGGCCTCCCTGAGGTCAGGAACGAGACCGCCCGGTCTCAGCTGGCAGCGGAGCTGCTCCAGTCCCCACCGCAGCCATGCGAGAAGGCAGCCATTTCCCCGCTGCCTGCCTGCCCATCTCGGGGCAATCCCCGAGACACGGCGGTCCCACCGTCCCAGGGAACAGGCGTGCTCAGCACGCAGGCGTTCCTCAAAATAACGCATGCCAC